TGCTTCTCCTGTGGAGGTTTCTGAGGCCTGTTGAATGTCTGAGTTTTTTAAAAGGCTATTCCAAATCTGTAAGAATTTTAACACATGCTTTTATGAATCTCTAAATTTCAAATTTCTCAAAATTTCTAATTAAAAAAGAACAATCGGATACTAATGCTCTAAATTGTCATCAAGTTCATCCTGTTTCCTTTAATTATCCTTGTGATAATGAATTATGTGTAGAATGGAACTGGCCACCAGTGGCAACATGTAAACATTGTCATTTCACTGTATGTCAGAAAGATTACTACTAGAACTACCCAACCAAATTTCATGAAACATGGTGGAGAGGTGAAATATTGACAAAAGAAGAACCCGTTAAATTTTGATGTGGCTTCAAATCACTTTCTCTAAAAACAAGGAAAGAAGATGTTCACTCCGAAGTGGACTTCTAGTTTAGGAAGCTAAGCCTGTGTGTGTATACAAGGTGCTACGACTCACCCTGCATGTCAGAATAAAATCTAAGCCATTGATAAGGAACTCTCTGTAGACCTTTCTGTAGAAGGAGTGGTGAGGCATAGATCAGGGCTTTGAGCACGGTGGCCTCGGTACTTATGAAATGCAAGAAGTTAGAACCATCAGGGCTCTTTCTAGAGACAGTTGTCTGAACCACCACATAGGCAGGTCCTTAATCGTGGAGGTCACCAAGAACTTAAAGGTCACTCACTGCTTAAAAAGTCAGTTATGACAGGACCCGCTGGAAAGATGTGCATCTCTGCAGCACTTCCTCATCCAGGTAGTGCAAACAGACAAAAGCAAATCTAAGTAAAAGACAAATGACAACCTGTTGGGAATTTCTAATTGTATTATGGGAATGCCAAGAGCTTTAGAACAATGATTTTGAGGTGGGCTTGAACTAAAACTTTTGTTAACAAATAACACCAGACACCACCTAATGCCATGTTGCCTCTAGATTGAAGTATGCTGGTGGTAGCATAATGCTATGAAGGTACTGGTCAGTGGTGGTGGTAGGGAAACTGGTCATACTGAGTGCATGAGACTAATAACTGGAAAAGCCAGACAAAGAAAGAAGAAAGTCTGCTCAGCAGCGCAGACAGTGTGAGATTGCGCAGATGGTCCACATTTGAGTGTAATCATGACCAAGACAGCTTGGAAATGTCTTTGGGTCAATTTTCCTGCTGTTCTTGAGTGGCCCAACTATAATCCAGAGTTAAACCTCACAGAACATCTGAAGATAGTATTTCTAACCAAAAATACTGTCGTAAAAGCTGCTGTAACTGCTCCCAGAGGGGCTTGAAATGACTGAATTGATATGTTTGTATATGAATAATTTCAGTTTTTGATTTCTAGTTGATTTACAGAAATGGCGCAATTAAGACCCACTATCTCTTTTTGATTTACTGAATTTAGATTAACAGGCAGTCTATTCATTATTATATAAACTGTGCAAAATCCAAAGGCTGAGGATACTTTATGAACCAACTATTGGACTGAGGTTCCACGGTCAAGACATTTCTGTAGCTTGTGATAGTGTTTTGGTAACAAAGGAGTCTATGGTCCTAAATGGGTTTGATCTGGTTTGATGGTGTACAGCTTTCATTTTTGTTTTTAAAAAAAGTAAATACAGACAACAAAAATACGTTCCTTTTTTATTTATTAGTTTAATAACATCACATTATTTAAGCTGTTTTTATGTCCGGTTTTGTCCTTTGCTGGTGCTCCTGAGGATCTGCAGAGCAGAGGTGTCAGAGCTGAAGCTGCTGTCATGTCCTACACCTGAGCGTTACATTTGCCACCACTGTTAGAGTCTGCCTTTGTTACTTTTAATAGCTGTGATGGCTTCACAGAATCCCACTAGGGTCGATGGCACTCTGGTATGGAAAAATTCATTCATTCGGCTCAGCACTCCATAATACACTGCTTACATCTCTGCTGAAAATTAAGCATTTTACAGGACATCTATTAGCATTTCCTGTTTCATCACTAGTGTGTAGCTGATCGTGTGTCAGCCTGGCAATAAATGGAAGAAGATCACTGCCAGCTCTGTGATTTGTTTGCTTTGCCATGTAGCCTGAAAGTATCAGCATATATTTAGATTTCTAAATGCCCTGCTAACATAACTTAGCAGATGTTGGGGAGTCATATGGATGTTGGTGTAACAGAGACCCCCTCAGGTATTCTCATTATTCTACTACTGAGCAGATGGCAAGGAAACTTACCACACGTACTATTATCCATCATACATATTCTGCTCCCAATTTACATAGCTGGTGCTTCAAGGGAGCTCCTACAGGGAGAGCTCCTAGCTCCAGGATTGCACTGCAGCTCCACCTGAGGCTTTGGAAGAGAGTCTGAGATGTCACTGCCACTACACCTCAAGCTCAAATATGCTAATGGTTGTACAAAGGAATTCCAATGGGTGCATTCCACTTTGTATATTTTGATTTGAGAGGGAGAAAAATTTGCAGCCTGATGATTTTTAAATAGTTTCATATCATTCAGGAAGTGTTTTACAATGAAACAGCCTTAATAAGATGAATAAAATAGACACTTTTATTACATCCATCACTTATCAGGCTTTCAAATTTCCAGCATGATGCATTTACATGTGGTGGCATTTCAAAAATAAATTAACATTAAAATGCCCCGAAGACCTATTTTCTCATTCAGCTTCTTTCTATTATCCATGGTCTCCTACACAAGTCCACAGCTGTCTGCCAGAGCTAAAACTGTGTTGTTCAGTTAAATGGGTGTGTTCTGAATAGGCACTTTGAATCAAGCTGTCCTATCAATTGTGACTGTCTGAGTTTAAGTATTATCTGATTATCTATAGTTTGTGTGTGAGTGCGTTTTAATTCCAGTCCTGATTTGTGGATATTTTGTAGTGAATATTTAAAAGGAGCCAAATTTAGTTTTTGATTACTAATAGCACTATGGGGCCAGTGTATTTTTACATAAATTCCAGTTTTGTTTGGTCTCATGCACACACACACACACAGCTGTACAAGCTGTGCATGTACGCGCAGCAAACGCCAGGGCTGACAATTGAAACCAACATGTGATGCCACAAACTGCTGTTCCTCAAATAGCCACTTACGGCTGGCTCCAAAAAATAAATACATAATAAACAAGTCAATAATATGCATCCTTATTTCAAAATGCTTAGATATAGAGTGTAAATAAATATGTGTATAACTGACTACACAATGTACACTTTTTTTTGGTTTTTTTGGCACACATCATGACTTTTGGAGAGACATTGTTTTTTTAGGTTTTTATTTGTTAGAACTATAATTCCATTATATGAAGTAGAGGCAGCAGATAAATCCAAAACTGGCCAGGACGAATCAAACAGTGTAGATGTATACACAGCACTACGAACCTGAGGGATATTATATAAATTCCACTGGAGGGTGTACTGTCCTTTTACGTTATGAATTATTATGGTTGTGGCTACTTTGACTGAAAGTTAAGCATACACACATGGCTGCAGCCGGCACAGCAAAGATAGTGGAAGACATATATATAACTTTCAGGAGAAAATCCTTTTTAAAAAATAGATTTTGGGGAAAAGTAAAAAAATAAAAATAGCTTTTCTCATTCAAATATGTTCATTTCTGGCTCCGAAAAACTGAGATGACCAGCCAAAATGCAAAAACCACCTCTTCATAACTAATGGCTGATGGCAGCTATTCATGTTTATTTATACTATACATATAAAGCTGTCAAAGCTGTCAAAGGGCTGAAAAAGACCGCTGAAGACCAAAGATAGACATACGAACACCACATGCTTTCCTAAATGGTCAGTAAGGGTGTTTTTGCAAATATTTTATGAAGAAAAATCTATTTAGAATGAATTTGAATGAACTCAATGCAATTTGGTGATTGACACTGAATGCAATTTTTTTATTTTTAAATTCTGAGAAAACACTACTTTTAACATACTGATGATAATGCAATGTATTCATGCAGGCTTCAGGGTTTGTTTTATTATATGAAATGTGTTGGTCGGTCCACTAATGCACTGGCTCAAGTGCACATTGTTTGCAAAGATTTGCAGAAATGTTTCATGCTGAATTGAATTCAGAGTGGAGATGAGTTTGCAGGTAGCTGTCTTTTAACTCTGCTTGTAATAAAACACCAAGACACTCTTATGTATTAAAATACGCTCCATTTTATGTGTGTCACACATGTATACATCCAGGCCAGTGATTTGCACAGCACTGTCCTTACTTTAGTTCCACTCTGGAGCTCTTTTTGCCCCTCCTCCTCTGCCTCCTTCTTCTCTCTTCCCTCTGAAAGACTCTCAGTGGTGGAGGGAAGCAGCAGCAGTGAGGCAGCACTGGGCCTGAAGGGCACTTTTCAGCCTGGCCAGACACACTCAGGCCTTGCTGCTTGGCTGCGCAACATGGGTCACCGCCTTACATTAGGAGGACCCTGCCAAAGTCAGCCAAGCGGAGCCCTGCAACATACCTGAAAATGAATGAACAAAGTCGCTGTGCCTACTGCAACAAAACAAGCATGTCTGACTGGGAAGTCAGTTTCTGATATCAAAATGAAATATTAATGACATCAGAAAGGTGTTTTTCATAATGCGTCTCATCAGTAGATGGATTTTTCTAGTCGTAAATCTTTATGCACATTATCTATCTAATATTTATAACAAATGAGAAGGCTGGCCAATAGTTTTGATTGGTGCCCCTTATCTTGGCACAGCATGGAGATGAAATGGTCTCCACGGGGCCAGCTGGGGCTCTTGTTGAGGTCAGAAGGAGAGGCTAAAGCAGACCTCTTATTATTTATTTGGAGTTCAGGCTCTATCCATCACTGCGGGTCCTCAGAGTCTCCCTAGTTGTAAGGCAGCAACCACATCTTCCAGCTTCTCCACTGAATCCCACTCTTACAGTCCAATGATAGACGTTTCACGAGAGGCACCTCAAGGTGGGGCTAAATGGTCTTACAGTATATTCCCAATCATGTCGCGTAGGCGGAGTCTGACTCTCATGCTCTTTGCTATGTTGCTGCCTGCCCAGCTTCTACTATAGCTTACATGACAAAAGCAAGGGGATGGAGTGAGTGAAATAAACCTACACTTCGTGTTTCTCACAGCCACTTTTTGGGGGGTAATTTAGCAGGGAGAGGGGGGTTTGGATCTCTGCGCGACATTACAAGAAAACGCGCATGTTTAGTAGTAGAAAGCAGCTGCCTGTCTCTTTTACGCATATCCTACTCCAGTGAAGGCAGCAGCAGTTCAGATCAGATTTCACATTCAACCCCGACCAGCTGAGAGAGGGAGAGAGAGACAGCCAGAGAGCAGGAGGGCTCGTTTCTCCGCTTTCGTCTCCGAAACCCCCTTTTTTCCTGAGCGCCACTGACCGTTCCAGCGAGGAAAAACCCGGGTGTGCGGCGCAGTTATCGGGATTTTTTTATTTTTATTTTTTACCTCCCTCCCTCCTTTTTTTCTTTTATGTATTTTTGCAGGATTTCAGCAGCGAGAGTACCACAGAGAATTAGATAAGAGGGGAGAAGAAGAATAAGAAGAAGAAGAAGAGATGGACGAGCAGCCGAGGTTGATGCACTCTCACACGGGGGTAGGCATGGCAGGGCACCCCGGCCTGCCGCAGCATATGCAAGAAGGCACCGGAGGAACGGACGGTGACGGAAGAAAGCAGGACATTGGAGACATTTTACAGCAAATTATGACCATCACGGATCAAAGTCTGGATGAAGCCCAAGCCAGGTAAAGGACACACGCTGGTTCGCTGTCAAGAGACGGCGGCGGCAAAGTAGATTAAAAAAAAACTAAAATTAAAAGATGGTGAAATTAAAAATAAAGAAACAAATTCTAAATATATGCGCGGACATTTTCAAATTTCCTAAGCGCTACGGCGAAGAGGAAAGTAGAAACGTAAAGGCGGTGCGTTTCTGTGCAAAAGCCGACACAACCGATTTTGCTCCAATTAAAATAACTCGACAGCCGCGCTTCAGCAGAAAATTAAAGTGTGTGAATATGGCGTTTATTGCCAACGTGTCGCCCACTGAGGGTATTTTTGAAACACTTTTACTTTAGCGCAGTCAAGCTGCTTTTATTAGTGCACTCAGATAAAGCTCATCATTTATTTCTAAATATGAAATGGAGTAAGCGGGTAACAGCCCGCGCTGTCTCTGGAGTGTTGTGCAGTTCACAGCAAATGCAGAGCAACTTTCTTACTTGTGATACATAATTCAGGATTTCACCCATCTTGTGTGTTCCGCCTTAAATTCAGCGAAGATGAAGTTATGCATTAAAAAAATTCTTTGTTTTTGTTTTGTTTTGTTTTTTAAATTGATGAACTATAATGATATAATTTTATTTTCTTAGTGTAAATATTGGAGCGTACATAAAGGTAACTATCAAAGGGGTTATAGCACATGTGTACACATACAGCTGTTAATAATTTACTTTTTTCCCCTGTGATTGCTCTGCAGCGTTTAACTGCTAAATTAGTTAAATCGGTAGTTTCTAATCAGTAATTTAACACAGGATAAAATCTATGCTTTTCCTTGCTGTGGTTTGCTCATAAAGCCACTTTTCTGTTTCAGGAAACACGCTCTGAACTGTCACAGAATGAAGCCAGCTCTTTTCAATGTCTTGTGTGAAATCAAAGAAAAAACAGGTATGTTCATACTAATTTCGCAGGAGTGTGTACCACTGCTATGTCGCTGCCTCCAAATACCCTCACGCAGGTGAAGGGAATTCAAAAGTGCACACACTGTATTATTAAGTAGCTGAAAAACCCACAGAGGCACAGTACCTGCTCTCCTTATCACCAGAGTCTAATTTGCTATTGAGGCTCAAATTCACGTTGGAAGGCTCGATTCAGTCACAACACAATTCACCATATAAATTTCAGTGACATGTAAGACATGTGTTTCCTCATGTAGCGCCAAAGTCTGCGTGTTTTAGCGGTTTCACAATAGGAACTGTGGACAATTACCTCCAACAGTCCTTATCAATTATTGTGTCAAAATATGAATGAGGTTCTTTTTTGATGCTATTGTGGAATAATAGAGAGTATTGAGCAAAAATTGTCACAAGCACGTTGATGTCTCCCCTTGTGAGTTAACTGTCAAGTCTGCTGAATACGTCTCTTTCTATTATGTATTGTGTCTCTCTATTAAAGCAGTTGTGAGAGAGCATGTCAGCAGAATAATTGCTAGGAGAGAAATAACGTAACATAGGAGGCGTAAGTCATGTTTCCAAATCATTCTCCCTGTGACATTTTTGAAATTGGCACAGAGAGAATTCAGTGCACTTCAGCTTGATAGCGTGCACCTCGTCTTTTATTTCCTTGTCTTTACACCGATGTGCTTTAGGACTCTTGCAAACTTACATCGTTGAGATACCGAGTTGCCAAAGCCATGGCAGCAAGAGCCAGGGTTTCTGTGTTTCCCACTCATTAGTACATGACATCAAATGGAAGGGGGAGGGAGAAGATATTGTTTCATTGTCTCCAAAGTTGCACTTGCTTATACTTGACCTTTGTGGTAGCGGTGATTGGTGCTGTTTGTGTTGTTTCTCGTGTGTGTGATCCCACCCTCGCTTGGTGCTTTCATGGATGTTTTCATTGAGGCTTTCATTGAAGATCACCTCGCTGCTCACCCCCCCCACAAGTGTGGCAGTTTATCTTGAATCGGCCACTGCCTCAGGAGAGAGCAGGGGGGCCTTTTGAAGCCTGCTGGCTCACTCTCAGTTTTGTTGTCTTGGTAGGTTTTATCGAAGGGGAGTGACACAGTTATGCATAGTGTTTTACTCCCTGGCGCTTCTCGGAGTTCATCTAAAGTTCGGGTCTTCTGAGAGTACAAAGTAACTTGGACCCCTTCCTGCCTGCACTCCCTTTTGTTTTCGCTTTCAGCTGGTAACCTATAAATACAAGGTGCAGCATAAGGAGCTGTGTGCTGGAGATCTGGTGCCTGTCGTGTTATTGTAGTTTTTTTCATTTTATCCAGTCAGCTTTGTTCTAGTTTAGAAAGAAACATTTATGCAGTTTCTACTAATTCGGATACACTTTAAATGCCACAGTAGAAATAAAGCTCAGAGATTACTACAGCAAAGAGTAACTGTGCATTTCTCCTTTCTCACACCTCAGCTGTGCAGTCAAGTTTAGTGTAAATAAAGTATGGAGTGTGAAAAACACTTCCTTCCATGTAACACATCAAGTCACTGACAGATTAGGCGCCATTATACAAAGGTTGTGCCCGCTCTTTTGACTTAATCCTTTCAATAATATTTGCCTTTCTTGATGAGACCAGCAGTGTGCATTTGTACACAATGAGCGATATTATGAATGAATATTTCTTGGGTCAGTTTTTGAATTTCAGCTGTAAAAGGCTTCTCTGCTGTGTTGTGAAAAAGTCGTAGCTTGTTGCTCCATCTAGTGGTTTTCCCTTCTTTTGAAATCTAATTAAAGTAGTGGAATTACTGAGTGTTTAATATCTTTTTTATTGTAATGTAATTTAAGTTAAGAATTTTTTTAATGTACATTTACACAAATCTGAGGCTATACTGGCAAAACAAAGTAGCTGAATTGGCTTTTATGTTCAAAGGTGCTTCAATGTTTACTGTAAAGTGTAAATTTGGTTCTTTTTACTACATTTTTTTGGCACACCTTTTTGCTTAGATGTTCTTCACATTTCAATATTGAAATTACTACTAAATCAGTAGGAGCCACTTTTAAATATTTCAGCGCGCAGCTTTAGCAACTGCTCGGAGCTGCAAGTGTGCGGCTGTAACTTTGTCCTCAGTAACCATCAGAGTGCAGAGACAGTGTGTATCCACAGAGCTGCTGTTTGCTTGTGTATATTTTCCATCCCTGGAGCCGCTGACAGCACCTGCAGGACACAATGCCAGTGCTGATCTAGGGCCTGAACTTGTGACCTGCTCTGTGTATTTTTACTGGGAAGAAGTGAGCGATGGCCAACAGAAATATTGTGCAGTATAAACAAGCACAATAGAACACCGACACCAGGGAGGAAAAAGAGGAGGAAGGAACACTTTATTTAAACCAGTGTTTTTAGTTGGTTTTTTTCTTCCTTTTTTGACAGGCAGCGGCTCTGACTTTACCCAGATTCATTCCGGGCATATTTGGGCTGTCTATTTTACTTCAAAGGAATGCTGTTTTCCTGATGCTGTGTGTGTGTGCGCGCGCGTGTGCAGCATCATACATTAATAAGAGGAGACGAAGCATAAAATATATAGAGCATATTAATTATATGACTGTATTTATCTCAAATGTGGAGCAAAGGTAAAAGCAGCACAGCTTCTCTGTGTTAGTGCTCATCCTAGCTGTGCTGCTGAGCTCTTGTAGTTTCACATAGATACTTTCCAAAAATATGTCGTAACAGTTGGACTCCACTGCCATTGGACGATATAATCTTTACCTCTCACTAACCGATTTCTTTAAATTAACAGGCTGTCAAAGTTGAATATATCAAGTGAGCTATTTATTTGTCTATTAATGTATCTTTATCACAGGTATTTGTAAGGTGCCCTGTTTTTTTCTTGGGCTTCTCCTTTACTTTTTTATGATTGATGAAAATGCCTCTTTAGATAAGCAAAGGCTTGACAAACTGATTTGGAAAATGAGCCGCCTTGACCTCTGTAAACACTTCATCAACATCGTAAATCTCTGGCAGTGTCAAACAAAACCACTCCTTGACTGAGCTGCTCAGTAAATGCGCTGCGCTGACTCGCTGTTTAATTTTTTTCCTCTCAACCTCAACAAAAGGCCAGCTTTCTCGTGGCCCGTGTTTGTGTAGTGTAAGGTTTCAAGCCTAGGGGATCCTCCATTTATAAAAATGACTAGCCGAGTGATGTAATGTTATTTTTTGAAGGGTGAAAATAGGGTGTTTTATAGAGGGCAGCCGAGCAGTGTTTGACAGGATGAAATGAGCCAGAGGTCTGATTATGGAAGGTGCGTGGAAGCCTACACTACATTGACTTGTCAGACCATTCAGATGCTTGGCATCTGCCTATTTGTATTAGAGGCTGAACTCGGCTCAGCTCTGCACGTCACTGGCGAAACGCTTTGAAGCAGCCTTCGAGGTGATCGGGTATGATGTAACCTTTAAAACGTGATACAGCTGGTGCAGTGCTGAAACCGCTGGTCAATACTTAAAAATTGGTAAGATGACAGAAAATCTATCACCGCTGGCATTGATATGTGATCAATCACCTTTAAAGCAACAATACAAGTATATCCGACGTGAGGATCCATTTATCAAAGGAATATCTTTTGCTTTTTTGCCACTAAATGGCTTTTGTTATTGACTGTTTTTATTAATGAATTGGTTAGCTTTGTGACTTATTAGAAATCAGTGACTTAATGCAGTTTCATGGGATCAGTCAAAAAGTATTCAATTTACTGTCATTTAAGAACAAGAAAAGGAGTAAATTCTCCCAATGCGAGCAAACAGAGTTGTCGATTTATTGGTTTTTTATACTCAAACAATTACTTTAAACAGGTCTCGACACATTTCCATCGGCCGATTAATCAAATAATTGACGAGTCTTTGCAGTTTGCCGCAAAAGAGAGATCTGAACACATCATCTTGAAAAAAATCTGGAAAATTGTGATCACATTTCAGTCCACTAAATGAAGCAATTGACAGATCAATCACAATTAAATTGTTTATGAATTGTTTTCTTGAATATGTACCTGACTGATAAACTGACGGTTTGGTCTATTACATGTTAGAAGGTTGTTAAAAAAAAGGAGTTAGCTGAAGGCTCTGTTTTCAGGTTACCAAACTGATACACATGGACTTGATATATGAAATAGCCACATTACAGCAGCAATTAAGCGTTTGTAGGGCTTGTTGGGAGTCACTGCAAGTGCAAAGCAGCAGGTAGTAACAGTACACATTACCTTCCGCGTACTGTATTACATGTCGAGGTGGATGTCACGGGGCCGTGCCTCCCCTCTCGTGATCGTCTCCCGGTGGACGCAGATACGTGCAGCCTTTGTCTCCCTCTTATCCTTCCTCCCCCGTGCTGATACAGCAGCATCCAGCAGGAGAGAAATGCCAAGCTCGCCGCCACAGCTGTTTCCCCAATCGCTCTGCTTAATCATCCACTGAGAGAGAGGAAGAGCTGAAGTCTAATTCTGCTCTGAGGATGTCGACGACTGGGGAAAATGTGTTTTGATTAACCAACATAAGGCAGACTTTTTTTTTTCGGTGCTGCATTTGATGCAGAATCGTAATCACAGAATCATCAGCGAGTGACAGCATTGTAAATGGCGAGCTAATACCATTACAGTATAGAACAATGTGGTTACATTATACATTATGCAAATTGTCAGTCGCCTAATTGATACATGTTAATCATATTAAGGAGCTTAATTATAGGAATCTTAGTGTGCTGCGATTTGGTAATTAACACTGACATCACACGTACAAGGAAAGTGATCTATTTTTTTCCAGGACACATTTCTCTTCTCATCCTTGTGAAAAGGAAGCAGCAGCTCTACATCGTTTTTATATTTTTGAATTTCCTGAACTGATGAATGATTTTCTTCCTCTCTGCTGAAGGCTACTGGAATGCAGTTTGTAGAAAAAATTACATTTAGCTCCCAGCAGCTCTGCCAGTGTGGAGATTACAGACTGAAGGCGAGAT